ATTCGATGGACTCAAAGAGTTTGTGAAAGTGCCATGGTTGTTTTTGACCCATTTGCTGCAGTTTTGTCTTCATTCTCCAGTGCTTTTTTCTTTGCCTTTAGAATTTCCATGGCAAAAAAACTTTGTGCAAACTCAATACATTCTACCAGGCAAAATTGTGGACAAAAGCAATATTCTCTAAATTATTTACCTGATTTACTTATTCAGATAATACATGTTTATAGACCCTAATTCTTGTTTTAAACAAACATTATTATATACTTGAAGCAAACACTTAAGCTATGTTTTCCCCTTAAACAAATATCCTAAATCTCAAAACACTATGGCATAGGGTAAAGCTCCCAAGATTGGAAAAAGCAAAAGAGATTTTTATACCACTTATTACCAAGCAACTATTGACATGGCATTCTAGATATTTCAACTTCAGTTTTTTCATCGGAATAATGGAAATAATAATTCCTGTCATACTAACTCAAAGGTGATTATGAGAACCTAATGAGATAATATGCACGACAAAACTTGGTAAAGAAAAAACAGCATAAAATACATTTGAAAGGAAAAACAGAATATATACTTTGCACTTATAAATATGGCATGTTGATTCTAAATGATCTAGACTATTCACAAAAGTACCTACTTGATGTGTTCCTCCAAAAAATGTTTTATAATGATTACAATAGTTTTATAAAAATAAACATATGTAAGACCTCAATAATTATAGGCTGCATCTCATGGCTCAAGAAGCATTTCATGGAATATACACAATACAGATTGGCCAGATTGAAATATTTCAATGGTTAAATAAAAGATAATAGCATGACTCAAACCTGAGGGGGTGTACCTGATAAATGCTGTGGTACTTAAGTATGTTATGTCAAGGAAAAACTGGTCAAGGAGAAACTGTCTTTGAGCTTGAAGGAGACAACGGTTCTATATAAAAGCTTTCAGGGCTGCATTTTCTGAACAACAGAGGCCTTAAGGGCCCTCAGAAAGATGAGTCACGCATCACTAAAGCTGGACGCATCAGCTGGCATTCAGAACTAGGAACAAAGTATTTGCAAGTTTAAGCACTCTTCTTAATAGTGTTCCAGTAAATAGCATCTTGCTTTTACCTGTATATAGCCATGTGACTTATTTTTAAAATCTGTTGTTTTGTGCTCTCTAGATTAAGTATTCCATCCTGGACAACAGTGAACATTTTGTAACGGCATGAAATTTCAAAAGCAAAAGGCAAATATCATCTAAACTGGCTCCCCTACTGCCAAAGAAGACCAGGGTTTACCTACCTTGGGGAGCCTAACTTGTGTGTTATCTTATGCAGGGAAAAAGACCCCACTGGCCTTTTGTTAATATCTTTGTGGTGATTCAGCTCAACAGCCAGGAAAGCTTTGTGAAGGTTTAACCTAGATCCTAGATATTTCCTTTCCTTTTGCTCCTTTTAATATGCTACAGGAAGCACAATTCACAGCTGTGAAAACTTCAATACTCTAACTGACCCTACCCAGTCTCGTCTTCAGTAAGTACTCACATTTTCCAGGCAGTGCAAAAACACTAGGCAGAGTCAGACACAGGAGGTACCCAGTGAAAGTAATGCTTCCATAGAGGCCCTGTTTCCAAATTCCTTAATTCATCCTTTCTTATTTTCCTTGAATTATCTAAAATCAATAATAACGATTCCTTTTCCAAAGCTACACAAAGCAAGGATGAACACTGATGCTGGTGATCCTAGATAATCTATTTAACTCCATAAGCCTCTGTTTCTTTTTCTGTAAAAATGGCTGCTCATATTATCTCTTCATCATTCACAGATTTTATGTGCAAAAATAACCTCTCCCTGTCTATAGGAGTATACTGATGACTCCACATTTTATGATATGTGAGCCTTACAATAATCCCTTCAGGTTGACAGAGTCGTTATTCCAATCGCCAGTGAATAGGTGGGAATTTCCGATATTTTCATCTCTAATTTCCTTTCCAGTTCTGATTGACTGCAGTGCAGTTTAATAGAAGAAGAGAAGCTAAGACTGGTGAACTAGCTTCACATGGGCTTCCAAAACAGTCTCCCAAGCCCAGCTCTAAATCATTTGGCTTCTAGAGTAAACAACGGAAATATTTTAAGAGTAAGGGTCATGGTTCTATTTCTTCTTTCCCTTTGAATTCTGAATTGGCACACTTGCAATAAAAGCAAGCAAACAAATCAGCCAAGTTAAAAATTTGAAAGCATGAGAAAATGATATATCTTTAAAAAGTTAAATCTCAAAAGCAATTTGGGAATTGCATTAAGCTTGTGGTACCATAGCAATCTGTCATATATTTTCTCTTCAACACACTTACTACACTTACCTCCTAAAAGAGGAGTCAAATAATTTTAACCATTTACTGTTGGTTTTACACAAAACAAATATTTGTTTATGTAATTTAACTATAAAATATACATTTCCAATAACTTTGTTTTTATGTGTTATACATGCATACATATTTACTCATATAAACAAAGATGTGTATATATAAACAATCAGAATTACCTCATATGTCATCTATATGTGTGTGTATATTGTAAACACATACATATATAAAATTATAAATATATATATCTCAAAGTTTTGTTTATCAAAGGCCTTCTTATTTACTCATATTATTCAGAACTTAAAGAGTTCATGATGGCAAATATTGAAAATTCATTCATAAAAATGAAAAAATTATAACTTTATAGTGTTACTTAAGTGTAAAAATATTCTAAACCCTTAGTGAAGTACATGCCCTGTAACACGTCTTACATACAATCATTTTCCACTATTTATTCCATTCTCAGGTAGTATTAATATAAACACAGGGTTAATGTCATGAAATAGAAACCAAAGTTATTGAATTAAATAATTATATCAGTACAAGACATGTTCATTTTTTTAATATGATCTGCTTGCTTGATAATAATCCCTTCACAAACCTACCTATATCTCAAGGGCATTTTGAGATTAAAACTTAATTTAAAACTTGGTTAAGAAATGCCTTGAACTCCTTAGAGAAAAGGACTTAAGTAAATGAAAGGAAATTATTATAAAAGTCATTCAAAGCAATGCTTTGTAGTTTTGCCCCTAGAGAAAACAAGCAATAGGATTATTTTATTGGGCAAAAAGTAAGTGTGTTTTAATTACATTCACAATGAGTTGTTTTACTATATCTCATTTTATAAAATCATCATATATATACGTGTGTGTTTGTGTGTATATATATATATATTTGCCACTTTGAAATCATTTCTTAAAGTATTAAACCAAGAACTTACATGTATGTAAAATACACACTTACACATGTATATATAGTCCACCAACATCTAAAATCTGTATTTTATATACTATACTGAGTGAAACTATATATGGCAATGTGTAAAACATTCTTTATTTCCATACTCTAAATAAACAAATATATCATTTTAAATATTAAAATAATTGTAGTAATATTTCCATATCTAAAGTGGGAAGTCATTCAGCCTCATTATGTTATTGCAGTGCTTGTTTCCATGGCAACTCCTTCAACTTCACTATGTTAGTAACCATCAATTCACAGCCCTGGAAGGGCTTGGAAAGTTCGCAATAGAATGCTCTCACTGTTCAATTAAGAAATTGAAAGCCAGACTCCCAGACTTTTGCTTACCCACTGTCAGCCAGCTAGTTAATGTCAGAGCAGGAAGTATAAGGTGGGTCTTCTGATACTCATCCCAGATTCTTTCAAGTATACTATATTGCCCCCTGCCCCCCAGTGTTCTAAGCCAACTGAAACTAATGCACACACACATTCAAACACGTGCCATATACACACTATATGTATAAACAGCAGTATACCCAATGGGATTGATTGAATCAAGCTATTTTAAAAGTCAAACAATGCTTTTTATGATTTCTCAGTATTACAAATAAATATATTGTAATTATTTCTATTGGGATAACAATGACAAGACAATTTGTCGGCTGTGGCTATAGGACACCAAAACAATTTCTTTAAAAGGGGAATATCAGTTAATGTTTTAAACTGTTTTACTAGAAATTTCCATTAATTTTAGTGAAGATATCAATTATTCAGGAATTTACAGTTTTAGACAATAAACATCCAAAGATATTAAGAAAATCTTTGACCAGTGATATATAGGAAACTTATTTCATGACTTAAATTTGGTAACCACTGTAAGAATAAGAAATACAAAATGCTATAAGAGAAAATAATTCTCCCATTTAATCAAATTTTATCTTCAAATAACAGATTCTAGAGTCTGAATCTGTGCTGCCCAATGTAGTCACTAGCCCCACTCTTGACCTCTTGTAACTAGGCAGAATTGAGATTTACTGCAAATGTAAAATACGCAATAATTCAAATACTCTTCCCCAAAACAATAATGTAAAAAAATCTCGATTTTTATACTGCTTATCCATTGAAATTATATTTATATAACATTAAGTAAAATATTTTATGAAAATTAACATTACCCGTTCCATTTTACTTTTTTAATATGGCTACTAGAAGTTTTAAAATTACATATGTGGCTTACATTTGTCATTCATGTTGTATTTTTATTGCTCAGCACTGATCTAGACCATTTGCATGCTAATTCTCCTGTGTGAAATATCTATTTCTTAAATCCAAAAACAATCCTACTCAATCATGACCTTCTCCTTAAACTCTTTTTGGATCTTTTCCTTTAAAGAATGAGCTCTCTTCTTTAAATTCTAGTGACATCTTTTACCTGACCTCACAATCTCTTCTAATGCCTCTACTTGGATGTAAGTTACTAGCAAGTGAAGTATATGTGTAGTTTTATGTATGTTTGTCACCTGCAAAACAACCACCATGGAGCTTTTGGAAAGTATCAGCAAAATTTTATTAGACAAGTAAGTGAATAAAAATATATGTAGTAAATGTATTCTTTTTTTCACTTTTACTCAGGTAAAGCTCTCTTGAGAGATCAGAATTTGCAGAAGTAGATCTGTGACTTAGAAGATACGTACCAGCTGACTCTCAGATACTGTAGAAGATGGTGAGGAGAGATTTGCCTGCAAAACATAAACATGGTGTGTGTTTAGTGAAACTCATAATTTATTAAAATATTTATGTGTTTAAGTATTTTGAAGTTTGTTTAGTATTAAAGAATTATATGTCCATGATAGGATTTTGAAAAGTATAAAGGAAAAGGAAAAATATCATTATGCCACCAAAGAAATGATTTTTAATATTTTTGATATATTGCCATAAATATTTTTCCTATGTATTTTTATTCAGCCCACATAATAGTGAATATGATGTTTATATGCTGCTTTTCCTTCTCATTTTCTTAACATAAGCATTATAACATGACATCAAAAATTCTTCAAGGTTACATAACATTTCATTCTTTGTATACTTCACATTTTAATCAAACATACCAGTATCATTGCTATTTCTATTTATTTAAAGCAAATTGAAACAAATAACATATATTTCTTTAAAGTATTGTTATACAAAAAGTAAAGCATAACAAAGTTTTATGATTTGAGAATAAAAATGACTTGGTTTTTAGAAATGTTTAAAGAACAGATAAATATTGTTTCTTTGTCATTGGCTCCTGTATTTCAACCCTTTCATCTGGATTTAGTTTCTTTCATTTTTAAAAATGTTATCTCATTGTCATAAGAACATTTAACATGAAATCTGTAGTCTGAACACGTTTGTAAGTGCACAATACAGTACTGTTGACTGTAGGTGCAATGTCGTATGGCAGATCTCTAGAACTTATTCATCTTATTTAGCTGACACTTCATGTTGATTAGTAACTTCCCATTTCCCCCTGCTCCCTAGTTTCCTTCTTACTAAAGTAAAGGTTTTGGTGGTTTTTTCAGATCTTACTGTCTTGGATGTTGTCTGAAAATGTTTTTTATCATGTTCTCATTCTTAAGTGAGAGTCCAACTGGACACACAATTCCAGGGTAATAACATTTCTGTCTTTTGCAGGTGCTGTGCCACAGACTCTGGCTTTTGTTATTGTTGGCCTAAATGTTATAACTTGGAGGATCAACTGTCTTCAAATTTGGTTAACATTTAAAGGTTATCTCCGTGACATTCTGTAATTTCACTTTGATGTGCCTTGGTATAGATTTCTTTTTATGGTTTTTTGGGGGTCTTGTTATGTTCCTTTATTCTCAGCGTGCATATCTTCTGAAAAATCCTACATGACTATCTCTTCAAATGCTGCCATGCTCCCATTTTATCTAATCTCTTGTTATTGAGCTTCTATTAAGTATATAATAATGTGCCACACAATGATGTTTCAGTTGATGATGGACCTCATATATGACAGGGTTCCCATAAGATTATAATGGAGCTAAAACTATTCCTGTCACCTAGTAACGTCTTAAGGATCTTGACTCTGTGTAGGCCTAAGCTAATGTGTATGTTTGTGTCTTAGGGTTTAACAAAAAAAGCTTAAAGAGTATAATAAATAAAAAATAAAAATTTGAAATAGAAAAAATTTATAGAATAAGGGTGTAAAAAATATTTTTGTACAGCTGTATAATGCATTTGTGTTTCAAGCCACGTGTTGCTACAAAAGAATAAAAACGTTTTAAAAATTAAGAAGTGTATAAAATAAAAAATCTACAGTAAGCTAAGGTTTATTGTTGAAGAAAGAAAAAACATAAAGTTAATGTAGTGGTGTTGTCTACAGTAGTGTACAGTAATAACCTTAGTTCTTCACATTCAGTCACCACTAACTCATTGATTCACCCAGAGAAACCTCCAGTCCTGCAGACTCCATTCATGGCAAGTGCACTATACAGATACACAACTTTTTATCTTTTACGCTGTATTTTTACCATGCCTTCTCTTTGTTTAGATATATAAATACCATTGTGTTACAATTGCCCACAGTATTCAATACAGTAACGTGTTGCATAGGTTTGTAGCCTAGCAGCAGTATGCTAAACCATATAGCCTAGGTGTGTAGTGGGCTATACCATTTAGGTTCACGTATATACATTTTTTAAAAAAATTTGAGACGGAGTCTCCCTCTGTCACCAGGCTGGAGTGCAGCGGCACAATCGGCTCACTGCGACCTACACCTCTCGGTTTCAAGTGATTCCCCTGCCTCAGCCTCCGGGATAGCTGGGACTACAGGTGCGTGCCACCAAACCTGGCTAATTTTTTGTATTTTTTTTAGTAGAGACAGCGTTTCACCATGTTGGCCAAGATGGTCTCGGTATATACACTTTGATGCTCACGTAATGATGAAATCACCTAGTGATGTGTTTTTCAGACCGTCTCTCCACAGTTAAGTGAAACATGACTGTATTTTGGGCCTTCTGAAATCCTCTCCCATTTGTCTCAAACTCATTTTTATATTTTTGTCTCTTTATACTGTATTCTGGATGGTTTTTGCATATAAGCCTGACAGTTAACTTATTTTTCTTTAACTGCATATTAGTATGTTTAACATGACAATTGAAATTAATGTCTTAATAATTGACTTTTCACTTCTAGAAGTTCTACCTGGGTCTTCTTCAAATCCTGTCTTATAATATCTATAACTCATTGTAATGTTTAACATTTTAAATATATTTATATGACAGTTTTCCAGATTTGTTATAGTCCCCCCTCGTTAAATACCATGTTGCTTATATTTGCTAATTCTCCCTCATGCCTCTCCCTCATGATGTTCTTCAGTTATTTTGTGTGCTTTTTAATTTTCTATTTTGAGTAATTTTGGTAATTTGGATTTCTTTAGATATCCAAGAAGCCCTGGTTGGGAAACCATCCCTGCAGTACCTTTGCCCTCATTGGGACCGTAGGAGTTGCACAGGTTCTGGACCAGTTACCATTTTATTGCCTCATCCTGATTTTCCTATATCTCAAGGTGGCAGATCCCCCACATTATCACATAATCCCCACATTATCATAGGTTTGGAGTCCCATTTTCTCATGGGTGACTTTTTCTTATCACCCAAGAATGTAGAGTAGGGGTTATTTTTTAAATTATCTTTTTTCTCTTTCATGCTTCATAGTCAATACGGCCTTGTAGGTTATAGAATTATGCAATAGATTCCCACATATGTCTTAAACTTGTTACACAGTGAAAGTTATAACCTAAGCTCCTGGGTCCTGGCACCTAGCATCCGATGTACACATGTTCTATGAGAACTTTAGGTTCTTTTTAGTATTCTAACCTTGAAATGGTCAGGCTCTGTGTCCCCACCCAAATCTTATCTTGAATTAAAACCTGCATAATCCCCACATGTTGAGGGCAGGAACTGGTGGGAGGTGATTGGATCACGGGGGCAGTTCACCCATGCTAATCTCATGATGGAGAGTGAGTTCTCGCAAAAGCTGATGGTTTTATAAGGGGTTCTTTGCCCTTTGCCTACATTTCTCTCTCCTGCCACCATGTGAAGAAAGTCCTTGCTTCTCCTTCGCTTTCTCCCATGATTGTAAGTTTCCTGAGGTTTCCCCAGCCATGCAGAACTGTGAGTCAAGTAAACCTCTTTTCTTTATAAATTACCCAGTCTCAGGTAGTTCTTTATAGCAGTATGAAAATGGACTAATGCAAACTTGGAAGTCCCACTTCATTTATGTCATCCAGGGATTAGTTATGTTTTATCAAACATTTCTGCATTTACATGGGAGGCTAAACTTTCATAGCAGCCTAACCTTCCGTTTCGACAGGAACCGGTCAGCATACAGATGAATAATTATAAATATGCTTGGTTAAAGTACAATAAGTTATGTTCCTAAAATATTTCTATTTTTGAAATCGCAAATATTTCAGAGCTTATTTTGATGTATCATTGCATTGTTTTAATCTCTGAGAGATCAACAATAACTGAAAACTGAAAGCCTCATGGTTCCATGTTATCAACAAGTATGAATCATCAAACAATGATAAGGCACATGAAGTCCTTTGTACACAGCGTCTAACGTTGTTTGTTTTCTGCGTTTTGACTCATGCCATTCTTACAGGTGCCACTGCTTGCTGCCATTCCTGGCTACTTGATGGCAGTAGGGTATCTTGGCTAAGTGTTCCACTTATCTAATTGCTGTGGGCCGGGCTAGTGTGCACTGAGGTTTAGGAAAATTGCCCTTCAGAATATCCATCATGGTGTTTTTGTCAGTTCACCTAAGGTTTCATTAAACCTCATAATCGAATACAGGTAATAATAATGATTTCTTCTAAAATATTAGGTTTTTTACTATTTAACAATTTTTTCTTATTGCACTAATGAAGGCATTGTCTATTGATCCCTTAAGTTAAATGAATAGCTTCTGTGAAATATGCTGAATTAAATGCATCATAACTGAAAAAAAATTTTTACCTCAATCATTACAGGTAAGAAGTTACATATTAATAATAAAGTATTCAAACAATTTGTATTACTAATATTTTTCAGTATATTGTACTAAATAATACCAAATTATTATCATAGGGAAAAGGGAGAAAAGGCTCAAACATATTAATTAAATTAGGAAAATATCTAAATATCTTTTTATGGAGTCTCTGTAAGTCCCCCAAATTCCCTCACTGGGAATCATGACATAATAATAAGATGCTTTAGACACCCCTAGACATTTTTATTTCATCCAGTATTACGAACTCTGTATCACTGCTATCAGAAACTTCCCAGAGAAAGTGCAAAATTAAATGCAAACCACTAAGTGGAGTGGATATGCATAATACTAATACAGATTTGTCCTTAGCAAAGAGGAAGAATAGTGACTTATATGTTTTATCACTAAAGTAACCAAGTTTTTTCAATGAAGCCAATTACGTCCAATCTTTTGAGAAGCCACCCTCAGCATGTCTAATGCAGGTTAATGCTGTTTATTGGCAGTTATAGCTATAATTATGTCATTAATATTGTAGCAATTATTTTCCAAAATGTAAGGAGAGATTGTGTGGTGAACTAAGCAGGTGATGGGAAAAGATTGCTACATTTGAAAACCTGCATCACCTGAATAAAGGCGGAGAAGAAACTTGAAATACCTAAAAATAAATTTGAAATTGGATTTGAACAACATTAAAATTTTGGTC